TGCTATATATTCTAAATAGCTTTATATGTTATTTATTTTGTTGCGAGGTATGTAATGTTTTATTCTAACAAGCAATTCTAACATTTAGCCTAAAATAAATATAATTAGGCATGTTCTTTATGTTATCTTGTAGATTACCGAAGAGAAAATTGATATTAATTAACAATTTTCCAATGTAATATATATATTAATAATTTTATTTAATAGTACTTTATTATATAATTTGATTAACAATTTCTAACAGCTTTTCTCATACATTTATGGAAAGTGGCTTTTCCGCAGCCTTGAGAAAGCAAATTTCACAGGATAGCATTCACAGGGCAAATAATAGATAAGGAATTTTTTTTTGTGTTATAAGTATATTAATGGATTTTTAAATGAATTGACATGTCTTCAATATTTTAGCTTTATATGACTTCTTGATCTTTTTAAAACACAGTAGCGGAGTAGTATTTCATATAATAAACATAAGCATAAAATTTTTTTTATTCTATGTTCCATTAAAGTGCATATTCAATGTCTTCTTTGAGAGAGAGAGAAAGAGAGAGAGCCATTCAAAATTGTCGGAAAGCATTGTTTGGGGTAATTGTCACTAGGGTGTTTCATTTGTCGTCCTTGACCTTTTCGCTTTAATTTCTACCGCCATCACGACCTCTTATGTAAGTTAAGGTCACGTGACAATAGTCTGTGTATAGATGAAAATATCACCTTGTTAGTAGGGAATACGACCTACCCATATAGAGAGAATGAATAATTTTCTTTGAGTTAGTTGTCTCTAGCACAAGCTTACAGATCTCTATGTTAAGTAATGGTAATAGTTCGTTTGTAATTACTAATAATGTATGCAACGAAATTCATGAATCCCGAAAATATACGTTACACATGAGGTAACTATATTCAATTTTTATATTTTCCTTTTAGAAGGTAATAATTTAAACCTCTAATAACTAATTGGTCTTATCATACTTGTAAATTAAATATTTTTTGCAAACATATAATAGTTTGTTTTTTCGTCGCTGTGTGTTTCAAGTGCTTAGCAAGCGATCAAAAAACAGGCATGCTAATGAGAAAAACTACATGCTTTGAGCCTAGGAAGGTTACGAAAGATATGTCAAGTCCGCCAACCCGCACTTGGTCAGCATGGTTGGGCGTTGACCTTATCCCCCTCGTACCGAAGGGAGTACTGTGTCCTGCAGTGGAACTTTTAAAATTTTAAAGGTTCTGATTACGATACAATAAAAAATAAAAAATGTATAGATTGACATAATATGTAAGGGCTTAATTTTGTGGTTACAATATGACATTCCCATACAATTTTTAGGTTTCTATTAGCAAAATCAATGGTGATCGCAGGATAAGGCCGGCAACGCATCTGCAAGCCCTGCGGTGTTGCAGATGTCCATGGGCGGCGGTGATCACTTTCCATCAGGTGAGCCTCCTGGCCGTTTGCCCCCTTAGTCCCATAAAAAAAATCTTGTCTTGGCATTTTGTGCCTGAAGTTATTACAAATACGACCTATTATCGTTGGATACAACATAACTCAGTGATCCGAAAAGGAAGAGCATGGTAAAAAATCGTAAAAGATGGTAGTAAACTATAGTTTACTTTCTGAAGATAGACAAATATTTTTAATAAGACACTTATTAGTTTTAATACAATTTGATCTATTTATTTATTTTATATAAGTTTTTAGCTCCTTTTGCAATATTTGCAATGTTTCGTATATATTTATCATTTTTTTTAAATAATAAAATTATACGTTCCACCAACTATTCTCTATTATAATAAAAAAAAAATAAAATAATTTACAAATAGTATATGTAATAAAATTTTATATTAATATTAAAATATAAAAAATCGCAAAATATCAAATAATATACTCTCTCTCGTTTTGTGCTAATTGCTAACGGTTATATAAAAAGCGTGTGTAACGAATATTTATTATTTCAAAATTTAATAATATGTAGTTTATTATCAGTTACAAAAGAGTACTTGTTTGACTAAATTCGGTCGCAGCATTTCCTAATTAGTGTTACAATAATTATAATATTTTTTACACATACTACAATATGACCTTGAAACACTTCCAGGTAAATTTCTAAGAAATTAATTAAAATTCTAAGAAATCTATTGTTAACTGTAACGCCAGCGTGTCCGCGGTCGTTGAGGGATTAAATTGTGTACTTTTCTTAGCCTTTTATTAATAGAAGAATTTTATGAAGCAGTTTAAAGGTTTCAGAAATTGTTAAGTTTCGACAAATAAGCATGGAAAATTTTCTTCTTTATAATAATATTTTATTTGTTTTTATAGTATAAATAAATACTTCTATAAATTAAAAATGCCATTATTGAATTAAATATAAATCTAGACACTTAAATTAATATACTATACGATATTACTAATTATATGTAATCTTTATATATATAATTCTTCTGTGAGTGTGTATGTCACTGAACTTCTCTCAAACGACTGGACTGATTTTGATGAAATTTTTTTGTGTGTGTTCAAGGGGATCTGGGAATGGTTTAGATTCACAATTTGAATAATAATTTTCATCAAAAAAATTATTAAAAAAAGTTTGAAATTTTCAAATTAAAGACGTGTAGACAGGACAACGTCTGTCGGGTCCGCTAGTTATATACATAATTCTTCTGTGAGTGTGTATGTCACTGAACTTCTCTGAAACGACTGGACCGATTTTGATGAAATTTTTTGTGTGTGTTCAAGGGGATCTGGGAATGGTTTAGATTCACAATTTGAATAATAATTTTCATCAAAAAAATTATTAAAAAAAGTTTGAAATTTTCAAATTAAAGACGTGTAGACAGGACAACGTCTGTCGGGTCCGCTAGTTATATGTAATAATTGCATAAAAGTATACAGATAATGATGATGATGATGATGTTCTCCTGGCCGATTCCGGTCACGGCGGCCAATCTCATTGAGACTAGCCAACTGCGCAGGAGATATTATAGTGCACAAGTGTACGCGCAGACACAACGTGCACTCTCTATTCCTGTCACTCTCATACTCCGATGGGACGACTACTCGACACGACCGGTGAGAGATAAGGCGCAGGACCGACGGCTTTACGTGCTCTCCGAGGCACGGGGGTGAAACACCGCCAACTTCCCAACTCCGGGCTGTTAGTGAGGCTTACTATACAGAAAGACTCAATAACTAAACTTGGCCCGACCCGGGACTCGAACCCAGGACCTCCGAGTGTGCAGCCGTACATGCTAGCCGCTACACCACCGAGGTAGTTATACACCGAGGTAGTTATACAGATAATAAGCGATAAAATATAAAGAATTACTATTTTCTATTGTTAGTTAACATCTTGAGTAAACTTTGGTCTTTATGAAATTTAAAAATGTCATAAATTGTGTTTTGGTGTAGACTTTGTGTTTTGTAATAGCGTATCTTATTATAATTAAATATATTATCATTTTAATTAATTAGATGAAATAAATAAGCAGCAAAAACTTTTGTAAATATAATATAAAGATATTCAATTCTTTTATTCAGTGGCGCCTAGGAGTGCCATTTGAGCACCATTTACTTCGATAATGTCGCGTAGAATGGAGAATACATATTACATATGGAATGACCAGTAACAAAGCGGAAATAAAAAAAACAAATATAAAGATATGTTTGTACAACTTAATGAATTGGACATTTGAAAACCGGCCATGTATTTTTGATTCTCATCCGTTACCAGAATAATTTTTTTTATATAAAAAAATTTCCTTTTCAAAAGTAATTATTTTTGCTAACTATTGTATTTAAATTGAAAATATTTATCATACATAATATGTATACTTTTATTCTTTTGCACATTTGATATTGACCCAGTTCAATTACATTGTTTCGAGAATCTGTCGTAAGTGGGCTTATTACTAAAACAATGATGCGTTTAAATAGAAATATTCCACAAAACACGTTGAAGAATTATTTTATACAGATATGTCGAAATCAGCCAAGTTAGTTTTATTATTATCTAAAAATTCTCCTATTCAACAAATCTAATCAGCCTATAGTTAGATCAGGCCCTGTATACAAAATAGCTATGCCTAATAACTACAAGTATTTATATTTATATATATTTTTTTATAATTAATAAACGTATAGTTCTCTAAAAGCCATTAAGGGTAGAAATTACAATATATGTATATTGTATATTCTAGCGTGTACATATTCCGTTAATTTTTTACTAAAATTTATAGTTATACTAACAGATAAGTTACATAAAATATTTTAAATATAAATATTTGTACAATGTATATATCTATTCTAAATTAAGGATTAGTAAATGAAAACCAGAGGAAATTTTAATTTAAGTGAAACCCTTTAAGCGCTACTTTAAAAGCCCCTTTGATAAAGAGTGAATTGATTTTCTTACGAAACATTTTTTACAAATAAATTTAAAACGAATACAAAGTAGTGAATAAATAATACCTAATAATTGATTTTTGCAATTAATAGTATTACAATTATTAATATTATATTTAAAAAGCACCTAAACATTTACTTTATATTAACATGATATTATTTCGTTATATTGAAAAATTTTCGTTTAAATTGAATAAGAATTTCTTTTAGCCTCTAATAATGAGCGTTCCCCGCGGCGAAATTTCATCCTTTCCACTTATTTACGAATTTCTTTTAAGCATTGCTTCGTTAGTTGTTGAAGTTTCAAAAGTAATTTTCAAAACCACTGTTATAATTAAAACGTTATGCACGTTTCATAATTAAAAATCGTCTTTAAACTCATATAATATGATATTCACATGAATTAATTCGTCACAGTTCTCAGTTAGAATCTAAGAGGAATGTCCAAGAAGAGTTTCATACGTTCTCCAATGTCAGCGATCGTGTGATCATCAAGCATTTGCTAGCTTTCTGTATCAAGTGAGTCGTCTATGTCGTCGATAGGTTGGCTTGTCAACGCAGCCCAGAGCGGCGAGCGCACGCCCAGCTGCGCCGAGCCCCGCCGCTAGCTGTCCCTAGCACACGCGGCCGCTGAAACTGCCGCGCTACCCACTGCACCAATTGCGCTGAAGAGAATCGTCCCCACCTCTCTGTCTGGTGTTATTTCCACCTAAACAGATAAAATCATTTGATAAATTGTCTATAAGAGTGGATGATGTTCTAAGATATACTCGTAACTGAGACTAAGGAATAATATAGGTAGAATTAAACATGGGCCATACCATGGGTCAATTTGTATACTGAGTGATAAGTGAATGAATCTTAATAAATAAAAATTGCTAACGGATTTTATTATATAAGGAAAAAAAGATAATTACTGAGAACTAAATCCTGAAAAATACAAAAAATTATATGTAATATTATTTTTACTGTTCAAATTTTATTATAAAAATTAAAAAATAATAAAAAAAATGTATATCATTTTAAGAGACTAATTGGTACATAAAATTTCCCTCATTCTTTAACAAAGTAAACGATCTCTCTGTATGCCAAAATCGAGAATAGTAGCATAAACAGCAAATCACGCTAATATTTTTGACTTTGACATTTATTTTGGCGAACTCCGTCTATATTTATCACGACGACACGTTTAGCTCACTTTGCATTGACCCAACTTGCTGCCAGCAGACGCGGGTTCGAGTCCCGCTGGGGACATTCATTTATGTGATGAGCACGAATGTTTGTACTCCAGTCATGGGTGTTTATATTTATAATATGTATGTATTTGTGCTATATTATATATATGTATATATAGTGTATCAACTATCTGATATCCATAACACTAGCCTCGTAGCTTGCCATGGCACTAGATGGCGCTGTGTTTTAAATATCCCCAATATATATATTTTTTGGTTCTGATACTTGTAAATAAAAAATAAAAATATAATTTTGGACTACTTTTATAAATGCGAATGTCTGTACGTTGTATTTTGATGAAATTTCGACTGTTACTTGGATAATATTGTTAGACACCTCGGGACGCAAAAGAGCGAAGCGAAAGTCGCTACATACCGTAAACTGCCTATTATAATGGTGAAAATTATCGCGTATGACTTTGTCTTATTTTAAAAAATAAATTAAAATTAAAAGATATACTTTTAAATTAATCTATACTAATATTATAAAGAGGAACGATTTGATTGTTTGTATGTTTGTATTGAATAGGCTCCGAAACCATTCGAACGATATAGATCAAATTTGGTAAGAAGATAGTTTGAGACCCTGGGAAGGACACAGGATAGTTTTTATAGATTCGCAAATATTCTATACTACCACGCAATATAATCATTTACCAATATAAACTACATAAGTATATACACGTAATATTACTAGATAGTTTTTGGCCGCAGATCATGACGTACGCGAGTCCGCTATGCACTCAATCCAATTTTACACACAATTTAATTTCACAGTAAAAACATCTATTCTGTGGAAATTTGAAATAAATTACCTTTTTATTTTTTAAAAGATAAAGCTCTTTAAAGCGCGGTGTAAAGTGTTCTCGGAAATATGGATAGCATTATCTTAGTAACAAGGTTCCGACTGGACCCTTTGGGTACGGAAACCTAAAAATGACCGAACCCGTAACAACCATATAAACAAATAAATAAAAATTCGAATATATATAATTTTTATAATATTAAAAAAAATTATAACCTTTTGCATTGATAAGCGAGATTTTACAGAAAAAAAGACAATAAATAAATTCGTATGACTGATTGATGACTGAACTCGTGTTCAGTCAATTGTGGTAATCAAGACAATTTAATTTTCAAAAAGAAAGTACTGCTATGTTTATTATTTATTATATATACGAAAAGAAAAACAATGTTTTTTAATAAAATAAATTAAAAATGAATATATTATGCTCCGATAGTTTTACTTTTATTTACAGCTTTAGGTTTCATTAAAATCTTTGTAGATTTCTAACCTATGATAGTTTTATTATCTACTTTATGTGTAAAATAATAGCTTTGGCAAGAAAAGTGTTGAGAGTTTTTAATTATGAGCTACTAAACTTTATTGAAGTCTATAAAGCTTTTAGGATTGAAATAGGTTAAGTTACTAACGCAAATTACATTACCATATATATTTTTTTATGTTTTGGTATTGGAATAAGAATAAAAGTATTAATAAGTACTATTAATTTTGTTCTCTTTTTAGATCCTCTTACGAGTAAATTATTTAAACTGACTCTTACCAAGTAATTTCGAAAACGATTTTAATTTGTTCAACTATATTACCCAAATATTTACTTCTAATCTTATAAAATTTGTTTTATGAATTATATTTGTGAGCAAAAGGAAGTATTATCCTAAAATTCCAATGTTTTTTTATTTTCTCTGTGTTAGCGAACAGAGCGGCAGATGGTGGATTAGGATCCGTCTTATTTATTAAGTAAGGGACTGTTACTGCGCGACATTTAGAGGCTATTATTTGCACTAATTCAGATAATGGTTTCATGCTTAATTAATAACGATAGAAATAAATGGAAAAGTATGTTGACATGATATAAACAAATATGTTTAAAATTACTTATAATGTACGCGATTTAAATTATATAATACTTGTGAAAGTGTAGTTTGTTCTGGGTCTGATCGTTCTTCTAAAACGGTGTCAAGTTCTAGCGTAGGAGGAGGTCTGGGCGAGCGGACCAGGCTGACTGCACGAGGCCTGCTCTTCACTGGTGATAGCCTTACAACTGAAAGCTCCCCGCGGTCCAGTTCGCAGTTACGTCGACGTGCACGCTCCCTGTAAACGCAAATTGTGTACATTATTCAAAATATAAGCAAGCCACATGTCATGAAGGAAAGCCTGATTGCCTTAAGCTAAATGACTTATGTCCCAGTATATTAAAACAAAGTTATCTGTTGAAAGTAAATATAACAATGCTAATTTTGAACTTTAAACTTTACTCAATTTGCATGTATATTATAGTTATTTGAACATAACAATAAGCTGACCAAACGAGATAAACTAAAATGATCCAGTTTATTACTAAAGTCGAGAAGGTTAGTGTTCACATAAAAATAATATCCCTGTGAGTTTTATACTACCTATTTCTCTGAAGTACATTCAGATGTATTGTAAATGGGTAAAGTTTTAGGTTAAATTTCGTGACTAATTACGCTTTGGGTCGGATACATTTAACAAAGGTTTAGGATTAGAATATTAAGTTGAATTAGAAGACAAATGTTAATAATCTAAAATAAAATATTTATTTCTCTTGGAATTTTGAAACTTAAAATTTTATACCAGTTTATTCATATCATACAGGGTTTGTTTAACATGTAATGTGTTTACCAATATTCACAATTAGCAATTAATTTTAATATATTGTGTAAAGATGTGACAATTTTTTTTTATGACTAAATGTTATTATTTAAAGAAAAATTGCGTTTTGTTAAATTTTATATTTCTTATTAATAGACACGTTAGTGTTTTTTAATATAAATATAAATTAATTAATTAAATCAGTTACAAAACTATTAAAATATGTATAAAACTATTTAAAACGTAAACCGTACAATGTTGTAAGCGTGTGTCTAATCTAAATGTAGGCCTAAACTAATGTATGATCCTCAGACACGAAACCAATGCATATAGATTACGAAGCGTTAATAGTTACCTGGCTAATTTAGCTCGTCGTCGTAGACAACATATTACGGTTAACGCCAACAATGGAAAGCCGAATATACAAGATACTATCGGCACAACAATCGACTCGGGTGTCACTGAAATAAATGCGTTGCGGTCATTTGAAAGCATCTATACAAAGATACAAAGGAATAAGAAATGAAATTTATACGATTGCAGATTCATATTGTTCGTTCCAACAAAATATTTGATATTGTTGATCCGCGGGAATTCCGCACAGAGAACGAAATACGGCGAAATTATTTACTATTCTAGAGCTGTGTCTATGTTTTGTATACAGCGATACAGGTCGCATAACTACCGATTACATACATTCAAAATTTAATAATTATTTTAGAAAGAGCGTATGCAAAGAAATTCTGTCTCGAGAAAAATAAAAATAAAATAAAAAAACTAAAACGCAAAACTTTTCTTGGCAAAGATTTTCTGAATGTCCTGCACGACAGGCGTTATTAATTTACCACACACAGCTTGACTATGCTAGACATTTGATGTATAGTCCATACGTATGTAAGCTTACCAGTAGGATAAATGATGATAGGTGGTCTTTTGTTGCCATTTCCTGGTTTTGAGATAACGATGATATTATTGGTAGCAATCGTCGTTGTAGATGAAGTAGTAGTCGCAGGAAATCTTTCAAGAAGCGATGATGAATTTGCTGTTGATATCCGAGTCATGTTGCCGATCTAAAATTATTTGGAAACATTAATAGAATCATTTGTTACGCCATTTTGTATATTAATCTTAATGGCGGCTTTCAATCTACTGCGCAGTACGGCTATGTCGTATTGAACCTGTAAGTTCCGACAAAGTAGCCAATACCAAGCCGATAGCGAAGTGCTGGTATTATAAATGAACATTTTTTTTTTATACTATTAAATTTAAAAATATCTTTTAAATGTTATATTTCCATTTAATAAATTCAAGGCCGCAGTAATCACTGCGCGAATTCAATTTTCAGCACCCAGCAAAAGTAAAAGATTTAATGAAACATTACTTTTAAAAACTCATTATTTCAAAATTTAACTTTATAAGCTTATTGAGAACTTTAGAGTTGAATAAACTCTTGAAGTTAAAATGTGTGCAATGTAGTGTTGTGTAAAAATGCATAAAAATAAATACATAAAACATTACAATTATGATGCTAATCATGCTTTTCGTGTATTTTTATTTTATACAAGTCTTATTTTAATATAATTTCTTTTTATTTGTAACATAAGGCCTTATTTAAAACTAATACTTTATTCTAAAATATATTTTTTCACCTTCTAAGCTCTCTCTCTCCAGCGATTGATACTACTTTTTAAAATAATTTCAGGAGTGTTACTTCTGTGTTCTAAATAAATCATTAAAATTCACTAACGATTTTTATAAAATAAAAGTAACTTTAAAATCGTCTATCATATTTTTAAAAATAGAAGAAATCAATAGAACTTATGTAATCATTTTATAGAAAATATTTATCCTATCGTAGTTTAAATTATTTTGAAAAAAGCTGGTCATTTTTAATGCCATTTACCTTTTTAGTTAGAATAAAGTAAGTTAAATTGGACCAAGAATTAAGCTTTTTTAATAAAATTTCAATAAGAGGGATTATTTAACAACTTTTTTGAAACAAAATATTTTAATTTATTAAATCTAAATAAAGAAGCAGTTTTTTCATACGCCCCAATAATACATTAGAATGTATTCCTTTTATGTAATTTCAAAAAAATTCTAGCCGATTAATAACATAATTTTATTAAGATTAGGGAAGAATATTTTTTAGAGGATTATAGACAGACTACTTTATAGTATAAACTAGTACTACATTCATGTATATATGAAACAACATAGACTATAGATATATACATTTTTTCATATATACATGAATATAGTATATATTCATATATATGGGAAACAACATTATGTGAATGACAAAGAAATCTCGTGCTATATTTAGAACTAGCGACTCAGTCTCGCTTCGCTCGGGTTACGTTTAGTATAGATTTCTCAGAGATGAGATATTTTTCCGCAGTAAAAAGTATCCTATATTTTGATGAAATTTGGTATGATGATACCCGTATAGCCAGTTATCATCATACCAAATTTCATCAAAATCTGTCCAGTGGTTTTCTCGAGACGCGGTAACAGACAGACAGACAGACAAAAATTCTAATAACTATAGATTCGGCCTCTGTATCGATTATAATGACTATTTCAACAAGATTTTCCAAAAAATATTTAATGTACAGATTCGACTCAGTTAGAATTTTATTATATGTATAGATAATGTTTTTTCACATTCAACGTTTTAAAGCGGGAAAATGATATTTAAATCATATATAAGAACAACGTTGTTACATGTTATTATACAATACGAAACGCATTGATATTTGCATTTCAAATTTCTCTGTTTGGGAAGAGTATTATATATAGAACTAGTTTGTTTATAGAAATTATATTAACATAGTTTTGATGTAAATGATATTATTCTGAAACCAGTAAAAATGAAATACTTATTGTTGTGTCGACGCCCTTCAAGTCGCTAGACATTAGTCCTCACAGTGACAACGCATCACCTACGGTTCAGCATTTTTGTTACATAAAACCTAAGTGCATGAACCGTAGGTGTTATGGGCGACACGTATAGTTAATGCGAAATTGTATTCACTGGTATTGTGGCTAGCATATAGGGCTGCACATGCGGAAGTCCTGGGTTCAAGTCCCATGTAGGGCCAAGTTTAGTTATTGAATTTTTCTGTTAAGATAAGTTCCAAAAACAGCCTGGAGTTTGAAAGTTGGCGGTGTTTCACTCCCGTGCCTCGGAGAGCACGTAAAGCTATCGGTCCTGCGCTTGATCTATCAACGGTCATCATCATCATTCCCATCGGAATTTGAGAGTGAAAGGATAAGGAAGTGCACTGTGTCTGCACATATACTTGTGAACTATATCTCCTGCGCATCTGGCTAGTCTCAGTGAGATTGGCCGCCGTGGCCGAAATCGATCTGGAGGACATCATAGTTAATGTATGCATTTCATGTTATGAACAAAACATTTTCTGTATGCAGATCGCAAAGCAGAATCTAAATTTTAAAGTAGATTTTAATTCAATGTTCCCAGAAAGGAGGTACATAAGGTAATTTTTTTGTAAAAAAAAATCTAAGAATACTCGCAAGTTAGACTTAGACCTTATGCCTTCGAGCTAAGATGAAGGTCAAAAGTAAGCCCATTTTTTTATAAAAAAAATACTTCATCTATTTACATAAACAAATATCGTAAAATGCTGCTCGGCAAAATATATGTAGTTATAATAATGATTTTTAGCAAAACGTAAAGTACTTATATACTGGTCTAAATATTTCAAATTCGAGTAGGTATATAAAATGAAAGGGTCTTTTAATGTTGGTACCTTATGAAAGGATGTGCGGTTTCACTTTGTCATTTCGAACTCAATGCCGCTCGATATTAGTATTGTAAATGTAACTAAATGGTTATTTAGTTTGATATCCATAACGCTAGCTGCGAAATAGGTTTATTTGTTCAGATTGAGTTAAAATATTAGTATTTTCAATAGATTTCAAAAAAGAAAGGTATTTTAATGTATATTTATCGATTTCACCATAGCGCATGAGCAACTTGGCTAGTTTAAATTATATTCTATCATCTCGGGGGGACCCACATATTTTTCTTTTGATATATAGCCATACTCTTTTCAAGAAAATCAAAAAACAACATAAAATTATTTTAACGAATCTAATTAGTCTATTTTAAGCCTATCGTGACTGGCATCGTTTAATTATTTCTTAGTAGTAGCCAAAAGTTATAATAGTGTTCATGTCTATCTATCTGTTTGTCACAGCCATTTTACCGCTAGATAATTCTGTAGCCAAATTACATTTCACTAAGGGATATAGTAAAATTAAGACTACATAAGCGAGTGTTTCTAAGTGACTTTTTTATTTTAGCCAATAGTTAGTTAACTTCCTTCCCTTTATAATTAGCTTTTAAAGTCCTTTTATCTTTTGAAGTATGAGTATGATAAAAGAGCTTCCTGACTATTTTTCACTAAAAATATTTTGTACAATACCTTACGTATCTTACGTTGATTAGTTTTTAAGATTCGGTACATTTTTGGTACCTATGGTTCGTCCGTAAAATTTAACTTTGTTTCTCAGACAAATACCTACTCGTAGTATATAATACAAATTATTATTTATGCTTTCAGTATTAATAATATAATGATAATAAATATTTCAATATCAACTAAAGCTGGGTCAATATTTTATTTTACTTTTAACTTACATAAATTGCATATTTAAAATATGTTATAAATTTTGTGTCTCCCTATTAAACCCTTCTTGTGCGAGGCACCTCAATCTTGCCTGATTTTAGAATATCTAATAATAATGAAATGATTTTATCTAGTAATAAAGGTATTCAGTAATTTTATCTTTATTCTTTATGTGGATTTAATAACATGTAGACTAATCATCATTTCATGTTATTGCTTAAAGACAATGAAAAAAATATAGTTTTCAAGGTTAATGTAGGAAAAACAAACAAGTGTACAATCAAATTGTAATTTTCAAAAGGAATGTAGATAAAGTGATAAGGAGCTTCGTATTACTACTATAAATCCTCTGCCAATGTATCCACAATTACAAAATGTAACAAACCAATATTAGGTACAGATACGAATAATTACGTACGAATGGGACCATTCCCGCAGTCCCTGTGAGTAAAATAGATCTAATTGCTTTTACTGAACTTAAAAATAGAACTGTAAACATACTTATGTATTTTTTATTCTTACTATGATGTTAATGTTATCATAATAGGTACTATTATAATTATAAAAGTATGTGTGCATGTATGTGCAGTATATAATGTGTTAGTGTATGTCATATGTGTGTGTTTGTTACTCCTTCGCGCTGTAACGGCTGGACGAGTTTGGATGAAATTTACTACATAGATATTGAATAACTAGGGACCTTCGCTTCGCTCGGGTGCTTCTCTATCTATCTAGTAGTAAATTTCATGAAAATCCGTCTAGCCGTTTCTGTGAAGGAATTATAGATACACATATACAGACTTTCGCATTTATTATAACGTACGTAACGTTTTAACGTTTCGTATTCGTATGAAATAGATATTACATTACAGCAAAAAGTAGCCTATGTCACTGTCCAGCCCTCCAACTATATTCATACAAAAAATCACGCCAATCCGTTACTCTGTTTCGACGTGAGAGAACGATAAAGAAACAAACAAACACACTTTTACATTTATAATATTAGTAGTAGTATGTATAGCCCGATTTTTAATATTTTTGACGTCGCTCTGTGAGCCCATGTCACTTCAATAACGATGTGATTATAATTATCATTGTCACTATGTGATTAACGTTATCAGTCTAGCTTAGATTAATGTTAGCATTATGGCTTTGATCCTGATAAGTTAATTTTTATTAACACACTAATTCTAATACTTCTATATTTTTAATAAAAAATATTAAGCATTTGGACAAGTGCGTAACTGACTCGCACATTGAGTGTTCCGGACCTCAAATTTTTTGTTACCTATGTTTAAGTTATATTCTTTGTTAGGCTAATAGTAAAATACCATATTTACGTGTATTTATTTTATTGATAGCATAAAGAAGTTCGTATTTTTTTAATTTTATGGAAAACAAAA